AGAGATATCACCCCTGGATGGTATCGCTTCACTGGTGTTTCTGGTAACCCAAAGATGCCCACTACATGCCCACCTGTGCGTCGTTGTGGTACTCATGCCCCAGGATGGATCAAAGGACTACATCCTTCTGTGGCAGACGGTCAAGTGACTCGGGAAGTTTGTTATCATTGGTCAAACAATTGCTGTCGGTGGAAAAACAACATCAAAGTCAAGAACTGTGGTGCCTTTTACGTGTATGAGCTGCAAAAAACGCCTGCATGCTCGCTTCGATACTGTGGTGAGTGTTGACGTTCTTAGATAACGTGAGATAATTAGGCAATAGACATTGAAAAGAGACAAATCACTGTAGTTACGAAAGATATGGAGTGCATGTAATAGTCTTACCAATTGAAATAGTACAACCGTATTGATGGCAGCTTCCTGGTAGGCTTTGAGGTCTTACAAACTCAGACTGACGAAAAGAAAACACTCTAGCTTTCTATCTATTCTTTCATTTCAACAATTTTTTTTTTATCTAAGATGATTTTTTCCTTGACATTTCTTAACTAATAGGCTGCAGTATGGAATTCTGCACAGTGAAAGTGTTTTTAGGTTTCGTTAACATCTACTATTTCAACAGTTGCATCTAATGACCCATGCAGCAACTACAAGAGCCTCAATGCAGCCGACCGCCTCGAATCTTACACTGGACAAAGCCCAGTTCGATGTGATCAGAGAGATATCACCCCTGGATGGTATCGTTTTACTGGTGTTGCTGGTAACCCAAAGATGCCCACTACATGCCCACCTGTGCGTCGTTGTGGAACGCATGCCCCGGGATGGATCAAAGGACAACATCCTTCTGTGGCAGACGGTGAAGTGACCCGTGAAATTTGTTATCACTGGTCAAACAATTGTTGTCGGTGGAAAAACAACATTAAAGTCAAGAACTGCGGTGCCTTTTACGTGTATGAGTTGCAGAAAACGCCTGCATGTTCGCTTCGATACTGTGGTGAGTATTAACGTTCTTAGATAACGTGAAACAATTAGGCAATAGAGATTGAAAAATGACTGAAAATGATTAAAAAAAGTGATTCAAAAATGAGAAATGACTGCAGTAACGAAAGACATGGAAAGGATTTAATAGTCATATCAATTAAGAGAACAACCGTATCGACGGCAGCTTCCCGGTAAGCTTCGAGGTCTTACAAACTCTACTCTGGACCTAGAGAAAACATTCTAGCTTCGTATCTATTCTTTCATTCCGACATTTGTTTTTATCTAAGATGATTTTTCCATGACATTGGTTAAATAATAGGCTGCAGTATGCAGTTCTAGACACTGAAGCTGTTCTAAAACTAGATTATATTGGTATATTTATATTTTTAATTTAAATCATAAAATATTGATAATAAGTCTTTTATAATTCTTATTCGAGGACCACAGGTTTATCAGTTGTATAACTATTAAGTGTAAACTCTCTTTAAATAAAGTTTGATTGATTGATTGATTGATTAACATCTATTATTCCAACAGTTGCATCTAATTCTAATAACCCATGCAGCAACTACAAGATCCTCAGTGCAGCCGACCGCCTCGAATCTTTCACTGGACAAAGCCCAGTCCGATGTGATCAGTGAGATATCACCGCTGGATGGTATCGCTTTACTGGTGTTGCTGGTAACCCAAAGATGCCCACTACATGTCCACCTGTGCGTCGTTGTGGTACGCATGCCCCAGGATGGATCAGAGGGCAACATCCTTCTGTGGCAGACGGCGAAGTGACTCGTGAAGTCTGCTATCATTGGACAAACAATTGTTGTCGGTGGAAAAACAACATTAAAGTCAAAAACTGCGGTGCCTTTTACGTCTATGAGCTGCAAAAAACGCCTGCATGCTCGCTTCGATACTGTGGTGAGTGTTGACGTTTTTAGATAACGTGAGACAATTAGGCAATAGACATTGAAAAGAGAGAAATCACTGTAGTGACGAAAGGCATGGAATGCATGTAATATTTATACCAATTGAAACAGTACAAGCTTATTGATGGCAGCTTCCTGGTAGGCTTTGGAGTCTTCCAAACTCAGCCAGACATTAAAAAAACACTCAAGATTTCTATCTATTCTTTTGCTTCAGCTTATTTAATCCAATATGATTTTTTTCCTTTCACATTTGAAAAATATAAGGCTGAAGCATGGACTTGTGTGCACAGTGAAAGTGTTTTAATTAAGGCTTCGTTAATATCTATTATTTCAACAGTTGTATCTAATAACCCATGCAACAACTACAAAACCCTAAATGCAGCCGACCGCCTCGAATCTTTCACTGGACAA